AGGGACATGGCTAAATCGACTCAGCTCGACATACTGATCATTTACATATATATTATATATTCTTTATAGGGTGTCCGACCCTACCTTCTGGATGTTACAAACTGCGTGACAAACTTATTATACCCTCTTGAGGGTATAAAAATATCAGCGCAACTTAAAAGCGCTAAATGGAGATAATGGAGGAATTTGAAATTTTCCTGAAGAGGAAAAAAGCTGAATAGCTTGAGGGCAACAACTTTTACACCTATAAGCAGAGATAACGAGATCCCCAACTCTCCTCTCACTGGAAATGTGAGAACGGCTCACCTACCGAACTTTGACAGTTGTCTGGATTGGAATGGAGGAATTTGTTGCCGCCGTTCAAGATCGCTAATAAAAATTCGAAACAATGATAATAAAAGGAAATGCGAAATTGAAGTACATTATATTGAATATCAAAAGTTAATTGTTTTAATATTCCATGAAATCATAAAAAGGATTTAAGTAGTTTCGCCATATTATTAAAAGTCCAATATAAAATAATTTGCAATCGTAATAAATGTTGGGTGTTTTAATTTAAAATGCCCAAAAATTCTTATTTTTATGTTATAAAAAAAGTTTATTTTGAGGCGCTCTCGCACTGAAATAAGTTGGGCATTTCATTATCCCTGCCTATAAGCTTCACCTCCTTAATGCTTAGGGTTCCGGAAAGTCTAATGAATATACGACGATTTATTTCATAGGCATTATCAATTGTCGATCCAGAGTTCACATATGAAATACAGATCATCGATCTAGATGAAGGATTATTGTGTGCGCCAAAAACCGATTTTTTGAAAATTTCATACTGCATGGTTAGTGCAACAAATGACTTCGTGACATGAACAAGCTATGCAAGCAGAGGTAATCCTCATTGAGGTGTCCTTTACCGCTCTGCCCATAAGAATGGCGCTGGATTTAAAACTATTTCAACTCAATGGAGGAGGAGTGAAAGCAATAACATACGCAGACGACATAGTGTTGATGGTGTCAAGGATGTTTCCTTCTACAGCCAGTGAGACTATAGAATGAGCTTTACGAACTGATGTTTTTCACTGATAAAACAAAAATACTGCAAGTCAATCTTCCATTGGTCACTGGTACAAGAATTCATTTGTTCCCCGCGATAAAATAGCTAGAAGTTGAAATCGATACCGAACCGAATTGGAAAGTACACTTGCAAAAAAATACTTAGCAGGAATTAAATATAGTCATTTAAATGCGTACACCCATCACTAGACCAATTCTAACTATGGAGCACAGGGTTGTTGACCAGCATTATAAAAACAATATAATTACAGGAAAATAAATAGAATACAAAGAGTTGTCTGTATACGGGTAGGCGGGGCTTTCAAGTTATAACCGAATTTCTTAAAAACACTTAAAGAATTTTAAAATTTTTTCAGTATGACTATTGCGTTGAAAAGTGTAGCGTTTTTTCCAAAAATTAATAGACCAATTTTAAAAATTACTGGAAAGTCCAAGAATTAGCCCAATTACGATCAGGAAAAAATTATTTCTGAATTTCATTAATATATCGAAAGTATTGACCGATAAGGGGGTTATTAAGTCAGAGGTCCACGTATTCAGTTCCTGGGATCTCAAAACTTTTTACTCGAACGAAGTTTGAGAGATAACAGATACCTTGAACGCACTAACTTTGCAAAGATTTATACCGATATCTTGATTGGTCCATGATATATGTAATACTATATATCACATATAATCACAATAAATTTTAATTTAAACATGATTTAATTTCTATAATTAGTCTTATGAGGAACTTTTGTGTCATATTGGGTGTAGAATTTAAATAAATTATCGCACCTTTTATATTTTTCAACACAACCTTTTTGTGGGTTGTGAGCGTCATTATCTTCTAATTTCGCTCAATTTTACAGCGAGTATTATGAATCAGGTTGTTAGCAGTTAGGATCAGAATAAATGAGATGTGAAAATTGCACGCTGATACTTTAACCCTAAAGTGTCACTCAACGCTTTGTTGGTAATAGTCAAATTTAATTGAACCGATCATATTTTATGAACAAACTCCATTGCCGAGCGGTCAATACGCCAACTGCTGCAGTGAAAATTGAAAAAAGGAGCAAGGGTAACGCGATAGCCGAAACATGGTGGATGTCAGAGGGGAAACCAACAAAAGCAATTTCTGTCAAAAAACACGCTCGAGATTCTAAAATAAAATAAATTCATTATCTCGAATATCAAAGCTTTTCAAATCCATATTAAATTGCGTGCGCCACGCATGTTAAACCCGCATGCCTTGCCACAGACAGTCCTCTTGTTGCATGAGCACTGCAGACATGGACAGCGTTGTTCCAGCTAGAGTTGTCATATTGGTGGTCGCATTTGTTTTTGCGAAGCTTGAAGACTGTTGTTTGTTATGAAATCATTGCTTTTGGTGCGTGTGCGTGTCACATTCATTAAACATCGCGAATGTAATGAAAAAAAAGTGTCATGCTAATAAACGAAAGTTATGATAAAGAATAGTAAAAGCGCCGAAAGAAAAGCTTGATCAACTACAAGTACCAACAAATCACATAAAATGTATTTCATGCGACATGCGGACGCGTCCGAAGCTTCGAAATATTTAAAGAATTTTTTTTTTTTTTTTTCAAAATGAAAGTGAAAATAAAAACTGGAATCTTTATAAAAATCGCTCAAATAAAAAAATATAGATTGTGGAATTTTCGGGAAGTTAGCTGATAATTATGATAAGCACGACAGTCGGGTCTACGAAAACCGGAGCGGACCCGAATTTTTATCCGGCCAAGGACTGTCAACCCGGCAGAATTCTGCCGTTATAACAACAACAACGAGCTTATCACTGGAATAACTACAAATATTATCATTATCAAATGTATAGTAGAATACTTTTAAATAAATTCATGTAACATTCTCATTTAGATAAATTTAAAGATAATAAGAGAGCTTATTCGAGAGGTAAAGGAGAACAATCACTTTTTTGTGTATGCAAGTAAAGAAGTAAATATTCTGAAAAGGTGCAACCAAATTTTGTTTATAGACACCTCTAAGGGATGGCCTCCCGCCTAACGGTTTAATATTTTTTCTTATTATCAGACATAAAAATTTGTACCTCGCTTCCAAGAACTTGAAAAGCTATTTCGTTTTGTGGATTTTGCATGCACTTAAATAATATTAGACGTAAAAGTTTGATTATTTTAATGAAAAACATATATATACAATATATATTTGGAGTTTTATAAGGCAATAAGAAAAAATTATTATAAATCGGTAGACTTCCAATTTTGTATAAAATGATGTGCGAAGAAAGAAAATATTGGAGAGTTTCTTGTATTGTTGGAGGACAGCGACGAAATCAAGTGTTAATTAGTTAACAGCCATTTAAGAATCGCTTCTACAAGTGAAGCCTCCGCAAAGGAACGAACGAAAATTGTAAGTTACTTAATATCTCTTTATCGAATAATACCGGCAGTTTGCAAAGTTCCACTACTTCATGTCAGATCATCCTGTCTTCTAGAACGTAAATTAACGAGAAGGTACAAAAGCGAACTTTGTATGATGCCCGATTGGACGGCTAACAGAGCTAAAAACTCGATATCAGTTTCCACCCTCCTAAAAAATAACCTACATAATTCCGTTCTTCTATATTCTATTAATGTGCTAAAATCACTTTGCGATGGAGATGCTCTCCACATTAAAAAAAAAGTGCCTTAGAAGAACTTGATTCGGATCGTTCAGTTTGTATGGCGCTATATGCTATGAACAATTTTTTCTGAGTTAACATTGTTTCCTTAGATAATAAACCATGCCAAATTTCGTAAATGTGTCTCGCCAAATGAAGAAGTTTTCCATACATGTACTTAATAGTTCAGTTTCCATGGCAACTATATGTGATCGACAAATGGGCAGTTTTTTGGTGAGAAAAGGTGTAAAATCGCAGATCGATATCTCAAAAATTGAGTACTGGATCATATGTATACAAACAGACAGACGCACGGACATGGTTAAATCCACTCATTTCATCATGCTGATGATTTATGCTTACATTTCATAGGAAACAACGTTACAAACATCATGAAAAACTTAAAATACCCTGTTCAGGGTATAAAAATAGTGGTGCAATTATAAGCTTTATTCTTTTTATTCTGTTCAATATAAGTTTATATAAATTCACAAGATTTATCCAACTTACCAAATTCCTGCTTCATTAGCAAAGTCATCGGGTTTGATTTGGTTGTCAGTTCTTATGTGACTAAAATGCTCGATAATGGCAAATATGCAAAAAACCGAAGAAAGCAATGGCTGGAACGGTTCCTGAAGTATAGCCATTAACAGATGCCCACTTTCTGTGCCACTTCCCTACAAATGTCGATGTAATTTACACACCAGTGGATTATGCTTTTGCTGATACAGTTGTTGCAGTGGTGAGTACTGATAGTAGATCGCTGTAGGAGATGAGGTATCCAATGAGTGACTGCGATCTGAGCTTGGATCACAGCAGTGATTTTACGAATTATTATTTGCGCTGTTGTCGTTTCGTTAGCCGGTGTGAATCCATTGACTCCTCCGCTACTGCTTCGATCACTTTGAGCGCATATTCGATGATAGCACTGTTACATTGTCGCGTGCTTTGAAGTTGATGATGACGATAACGTGTGGCATGTGTGTGCTACAGAAGTTGATCCCTGTGTTTTGTTTGTCTGCTGTTTGGTAAGACCAACAGGAGGTCTATACTGCCGACGCTGTGGATCATCAATGTCATGGTGTGACTCATCGCTGGTGGTATTGTCTTCATTCCCACCATGAGTACCTTTAGATTACTGAACCACCTTTCTGAACTGTCTTCATTCCCACCATGAGTACCTTTAGATTACTGAACCACCATTCTGAACTGTAATTTTTCGTAGAGCAGACAAGCTGTTAATCGGTTCATTGTCGTTGTGATAACATTTTCCAGTACCTGATTTCTTTCGGTTTTGTTGCCATTCCCATGCTGCTTTCATTATTGTCATTGCCCAGACCAGAGAAATCGAGCGATATGATTCAGGCGTGATCACCTGAGGCTTGTTCGCATTACGTGAATGAAGTGATGCTGGAGAGAAAGAAAAATCGTAAATATGTACAAAATAATGTAGTTGTTGCATATATGTCATGGTTTCGGTGACTAGCCGTACTGTTTTTTGCAGGACCGTACTGTTTTTCAAACCTCTGTCCTGCGTAATTTTTCGAAACAGAAAACCCTGAAAATGTACTGTTTTTTCCCAAGTGTCCTGCCTTTGTCCCGCATTTTATTCGATACTTAAAAATGTACGGTGGCAGCCCTTTACTAATCAAAATGTGGGCAGTTATCGATAATTTTCGTAAATTCTGCGCAACGATTGACCATCCAACAAGAAATAGCAAACAAAATTGGTAAGTCTTCAGAAATTGTTTGAACACTTCAATTAAATGTTTTTTTTACGGCTCCACATAGAAAATGCACTTTCAACAATAATTTGAAAGAGAAGTACACGTTTATAAAAAAGGCTGCACATGAGAATGAAGTGAAATGTTTGAAATGCACTGCTGTTTTTTCCATTGCTAATGGTGGTAAATGAGATATTGAACGCCATTTGATATCGCAAAACATCGTAAGGCTGATTTTGAAGCTTCAACCAGTCAATCCGAAGCTGATTTGCGGGAAGTTAATTTTATTTCCATTTTCTTCGATTTTTCAAATCATGGCAGCATTAAGATTTGTCCGGTGCTTGTCAGATACTTCTTGCCGCTAAAGGGGATACAAATAAAAAAATAAAAATATTGGATGTAAAGGAACTATCAGGTGAATCGTCAGATATTTTAACAGCTCTAATTTCCAATGTACTGTCTAAATTTTATCTGAACCAAAAATTACTCGCTTTATGCGCGGATAACACCAACTGCAATTTTGGTGGAGCAGTAAGAGGTGGAAAAAAGAATATTTTTCATAAGCTTAAAGAATCTACCGGTAATATGCTTATTGGAATAAATTGTGCTGCGCACATTATTAATAATTGCCTCCATAGATTGTCTGCCGATAGATATTGAAGTAGTTGTAGTTAAAATTTTTTCGTACTTCTACATATATACAGTTAGAGTTGAAAATTTAAAGCAAATATGTGAAGCAGTTGATGTTGAATACAAAAAATTACTTGGATTTAGTAAAACCAGATGGCTTACTTATAAGCCGTCAATAGAAAGAATTTTAAAGCTTTATAAACCACTGAAGGAATACTTTTTACAACAACCCAAATGCCCGACTATTTTATACAGTTTTTTTGGAGATCCTGCATCCGAAGCGTGGCTTTTTTTTGCACATTTTTAAGCATCTCTTTTCTACACTTATATTTTTCAAATTGAGTCCCAGAATATCTCTATGATAGAAGTGGGCTCACTTATTAAAAAACTCAAATTTAAAATAACCGAACTCCGTGATAAAATTTTTATACCTTTAGTTGTGAGGAATTTAATTTCCGCATTGGATAAAACGGGAGTGAAATATGCAGATGAATTTAATAGTAACTCAACAAAATTTTATAATAATTGCATTGATTATTTAAATCAGTGGGATCAAGCCTTTAAAGACGTAGAAGTGATGGAAATTACCATCTTGGAATTCTGTGGAAAGAAATTTAATATATGTCAGGGAAATCAGAAATAAAACTGATATAAATGATGGTGAATTATTTGACGAGTTTTCTTTCGTTAAAAATTATTTAACTTCCGATAAATTAAACGAATGGGAAAACAGTGAAAAAACTGCTGTAGATAAATGGGTTGAAATATTTACGCATTTTAAAAATAATTCTATATCTTTTAAAAATATTTTAAAAGTTCTTGAATTTGCGTTGTGTTTGCCAGGCTCAAATGCCCCAACCGAAGGAATCTATTCAATCTTAAACAACGTGTGGACTGATGAAAAATCCCAGATAAAAGTAGAAACTATCAAAGCAATATTAATAACAAAATGCAACTATGATCTTATCTGCCTAGAATTTAAGGAGTATTTACAAAATAAAAATCAGTTATTAAAAAAATTTATAGTTCAGAAAAATATCAATAATTAGATATACTTACATACATATGTACCTGTTGTGACCATAAGGCACCTTGATATTTAAACCATTTTCCCTACAGTTATTTAATGTTCATAAATTTTGTATAAGGTTTTGTTAATTCAAGTCAAACCTTATACAAAAGAGATACAAAATTAACAAATTTTCACTAAAAATCCGAATCTTTATAAAAAATATTGAAATGCAGTTTTTTTATAATTGCGCACTTTCTTCTTATTTTTTGAACATAAGCGTGACGCTGTTAAGAGAAAACAAGTAAGGAAGGGCTAAGTTCGGGTGTCACCGAACATTTTATACTCTCGCATGATAAAGTGATAATCGAGATTACAGGCGTGGTTGTGAACCGATTT